CGGAGAGAGATCAGGGTTGAGTTCAGGGATGAGTTAAGGAAGAGTTCAGGAACAAGATCAGGTAGATATCAGGGAAGAGATCAGCGAAGAGATCAGGGAAGAGATTCAAGGGAAGAGATCAGGGAAGAGTTCAGCGGAACAGCGTTCAGAGGGAGTGAGATCAGGAAGAGTTAAAGGAAGAAGTATCAGAGAACAGATCAGGCGGAGGAGAACAGAAGAGATCAGCGGTAGAGTTCAGGGAAGAGGATCAGGGTTTAGGAGGATCAGGGGAAGAGGTTCAGGAGAGAGATTCAGGGGAAGAGCGTCAGGGAAGACTCTCAGGAGAAGTAAGGTAGGCTTTCATGTGGAGGAGGTTTATGAAAGCTCTGTGGGCGAGTTCTGACCTGGTATTAGGACAAGCGACTAGCGCAGACTTCAGCCGGCGACTTTCGGCCAGGCGGTTTGCGGTACGACAAGTCAACTCCACCCTAGCTCTGGCTGATGTTTTCTTTCTCATTCCCTCGTAGAAATATCGTCACTGCCATCATACAGTACAAACGAGTTTGTGTAGTGAATCATTTTAATAGTTCGCATTAAAGAAGAAATGCAATCATAAAATATTAAATATGAGGTGTCGTTAGGGTCTTTTTCGTAACACGCGACGTGATGTAAACAACAGTAACCCGAACACAACAAAACCGTTCTAAATCCTTATATTTCATTTTAGGTTACTTAGTTGTCAATGCTATAGGGTAGAAATGTCAAATTCTTTGGGTCGGATAAGTTTCAATAACGTTGTAATCCGAGTGTCATGCTCCGACGTTGTAATTTCACTAGACAACAAGGGGGCTGAGTCTGACGTTTCCTTAGCCCCACACTTGACGGATCTATTGTTTGACAGCGAAGTGACGTTTGTAGCCGACGATGTTGGGGCCGACGACGTCTATGGAGAAATGTGAGTAGTCGTCTATGCAGCGGGTGGACACTGGGTCTTTCGTTGCCCCGGTCGAAGACAAGGTCCGAAGAGCAGTAAAGTGCGGATCCTCATGACGTTTGGGGGAGGACCAGGACCAGATGGACGTACACGCGTAGGCTGGAGACGTCGAGTAGGTCTTACGTCGCCTGAGCAGACCAGAAGTTGGAAGGTTTTTAAGAGGGTGTGGTGCCGGCGAGGCGAATGTGGAACCAAGGCCATTGCGATCTTATGGTGAAGTTCTGTTCACCATGAACGCATGTGGACCATGGCTGCGTGGGGCCGGAACCAGGGCTGGATCCATAGCTGCTGGGGCCAGAACTGGGTCCGGAACCATGGCTGTGTGGGCCGGTTCTGGAGCCGGAACCATGGCTGTGTGGGCCGGTACTGGAGCCGGAACCATGGCTGCTGGGGCCTGTACTGGAGCCCAAAGCATGGCTTCTGGGGCTCGGGCTGCTAGCCTGGACTTGCGACTCCTTCTCTTAGGAGCCTTTTGGAGGCTCTGTGGACCTCCAAAAGCCAGACGAGTCCCCGAGAACGGCTCCTGGACAGTAGCAGGAAATGGGGAAGAAGCAGGGGTTGACTCCAGACGGAACACACCGAGACGTATGGTGTCAGATTGGGAATTGGGAGGCAGAGGGCTAGCATGCCGGGCTAGACAGGCCTGGGAAACAGGTTTGACCTCAAAGCTGCCCAAAAAGTCCTCCACCCACTCGGGTAGCAACTCCCTCAACCAGGGCCTAGAGGTTATCTCCTGGCGTGCCGCAGAAATAACTGACTGCCTCTCTTCACTACTGGAGGCATATCTAAAGTCATTCCTCAAGCATGTCAAATTGTACTTCACCTCGTACAAACTGTCTGCTGGGTCCATTCTTGGTTGGTTCATTCTGTCAGGGTTGGGGAAAAATAGGACCCAAATGCAGATTGAGGAGGAAGCAGGTTTCAAAAGGAAACAAAAGGCGAGCTTTATTAACCCTTTGGAGACCTGGGCTAATTTGGCTGTTTTCGCATACTTTTGATTTGTCTTACTAAACCCCATTAAGAAATGTTTGGCATATAAATGTTTGGTATCTTTTTTTAAGGACAACCTCACCTATATAACCTGATAGTTATTTCTTTCATTTTGAGATACTATTTGAACATTTTGGACCCAAAATCACAAATAAACGTAAAAACAGATTTTGAAAAGGATATTATTTTTCATATAGGTAACACAAACATACACAACAAAACGGTTTGAAAGCTGGAAATATATACATGGGATGTCACTATGATAATGTGAAAGTTTGATTGAGGTAGCATGAACCTATATACACATTTTATGAACAAATAACAGGTGTATCCATCGGCTTTTTTTCCTAATTTCTCAAGTTCTGTCAACAGTAGTGCACAACAAAACATTTAAAAGCTTAAATAATGTACATGGGATTTCATTCTGATAAGGCAAAAGTGTTATTATAAATATAATACAAATATATATATGTACATTATGTACAAAAATCTGTTTTTTCTGTCTTTATCTGTGCCACGCTTCAAAGCAGTTTCTGTCAACGACACAGAGGGCAACATCACAGGCTCCTCCTCCTCCTCAATGTCAAAAAACAAGCTTATAGCTTGACTGACGTTCAGAGTTCTCTTCATCATAGTTGAATCTTCAAAACTCTAAATCTATCTAACTATATCTAAATTCTCAATGTGTGTCTGTCACTTTACTTCAATCGCAGTCTCCCGCCGTCTCTCTTCGTATATCTTCGTCTCTCTTCGTCTCCCGCCGCCTGTCTTCGTATATCTTCGTCTCTCTCCATTTCTCGCCGTCTCTCTTTGGTTCCCGCCGTCCCTCTTCGTTTCTTTTCGTCTCGCTTCATATCACTCCGTTTACCTGATTACCTCACCCCCTCCCTGGTAAATACATCCTGTTGAGCAGAATCTACAGTTTCCAGTATTTTCCGTTTCGCAAAATGATCAAATACGGCGAAGATATTCAAATATGTGCTTCCATTTTTCATACTTTTCAAATATATTAACTTGATACCGTGTTTAATGGGTCTTTTTTCATGAAACAAAGACTGGGATATAGTTTCAAGCCAGTACTTTCGACAGAAACACACGGCGATGTTGTCCGGACTGTTGTTTTTATGCGGCACCGGCTTGAACAGGTCATGTGATCTGATCACGCCGGCGTGACGGTCGACTCCAAAGGGTTAATATATTTGGAAATGAAAGCGGGCAAGCAGCAAATACTCTGACATAATCCATAACTCATCACCAAAAAGGTCACAAGTCATGACCTCCAGCCTTCACCATGCTCCATTGGCTGCACTCTCCACTGTTCTCCATAGAAAGCATGGATAATGCTGATCTTAAGAAATGCCAATCTTTTTGAATTCATAAAAATCACTGCCATTGCCATCACCAATACAAACTAGTTATTGTATCTTCATCACAGTGTGATATGTACTTATTGTATGTGCTTTCCCCAGCTTGATGTCCTGGTGCACCGCCTGGTGATACTGCTGGCTGATATCGGAGACTCAAAGTCTGTTGAGGGCCGCGTGTCAGACGCCAACCTCGCCTGCAGGAAGCTGGCTGTGTCTCACCCCGTCCTTCTGCTCAGGTGAACAAATACTCAGTGGTCCTCTGTTCTGTATTTCTGTATTTAGTCCACAAATTCACCGACTGTAACACTGTTCTTCTTAAATGTTTTCCCCAGGCACCTGCCTATGATTGCAAGCCTCTTACAGGGTCGTATTCACCTGAACTTCCAAGAGTTTAGGCAGCAAAACCACATGACGTTCTTTAGCAATGTGCTGGCCATCCTGGAGCTGCTGCAGCCGCTTGTATTCCACAGCGAGCACCAGATGGCGCTTCAGGACTGCCTTCTGTCCTTCATGAAGGTTCTTCGGGTAGGAGGCTCACACACTGTCGCATCTTCACCATAGGATAAAGACTCAGATCGGACCTAATCGCCTATTTTAATAAGCTACAAATCATGTTTCCTCCTGTAGAACTTCCAGAGGACTCGTTCCCCGTTTGTCTTCATCACCAAGTTCTTGCAGTTCACACAGAAATACATCACCCGCGATGCATCGTCCGCCATTCCCTACTTACAGAAGCACTCTGACATCTTGCAGTAAGTGTATCCGGGCAACTACAGTATATCTTTAAATGATGATATTCTGACTGTAATAAGTTGACTGTACTTACAGCAGAAACTGCTTGGTTGAAAGTCTGTTTTGCTGTTTCTCCTGCCAGGGTTCTGTGTGCAGAAAACCCAGAACTGGTTCAGCTGAAGTCTCTGCTGGCTGGACTCACTCTGCCGGTGAGGAGGTCTTCATCAGAGGTCTACCCAGAGGAGGGAGAGGGTGAGCAAAGGGGGATCTTTTGAGTTATTGGAGTTGTTACAGTGGCCACATATATCTAAAGCAGCAGTTAAAAGATATCTCGGTACATGGTGACATTTGATGTATTCAGCCTTTTGTGTCCAAAGACCATATGTGTTATGATAAGGCAAAAAGCCATATTTGTTCTGATGTCAAAGGCCTTGAAATCTGGTGCGGCGTACTATGAGCTAGTGTCTAACAGTCGAACTTTGAGATTTTTAGATCGCATCAAAAATAACACAATATATAAACTATACATTAAATATCAAACTAAAATCATTAAATAAATGATTTAATGTATATTAAAACGTTTTACATTTTCCTTATTCAACTTCTTATGATTTCATAAAACAGAATACTTGATTATGCTCCTTGTAGTTTCTGAGAAACAGTCATTTTCTTTGCAATACCATATTTAAGGCACATGGGACTGCTATATACCAACATAGTAGATCCATATGCCAAAGAAAACGTACTTTACAGCCAATCTGTTAGAACGATTAGAAAATGCCTTCAGCTTTGAGGTTCCTGGAAGCCCATATTTATGCCATACTAACATGTGCATTGCGTGCACAAATGAAGTCTTAAGATCCGCTGCTCTGCCTTTTCTTGTAAACTTCAATTCTGTTAAATAATTGCTTTTGCTCTCCACCAGACGACGTGTCCACTGGTTCCCTGCCCCTGGTCAGCATCTCTGCCTCTGTGTCTCTGAGTGCGGCTGACATGACGATGTACTTGAAGAAGATGTCAAGAGGAGGGGCAGTGGAGGGTAACAAACATACTGCTGCAGCAATTCACCATGTATAAATCCTGTATCATGAGTAATGCACTCTTTTCTTACGCCACTGCTATAGATGTGCTGGAAGTGTTGACAGAGGTGGATGAGAAGTCGAGGAGGAGCCCAGAGATCATCCAGTACTTCATCGTGAGTCATGAACAACATGAACACAAAAAAAGGTCAAGGGGTAAACCTGTCAGTTTGTAACTCATCCTTCCCCACCTTGTGTTTGCAGAACGATCTGCAGAGGCTCATGACGTCCTCGGAGGATTTGTGTCGGAACCTGGCCTTCAGTCTGGCCCTGCGCTGCATCCAGAACAATCCCTGGTAGGTTTGCAGCACTTCAGGACAATGTATACAGAGAACATGCTACAACCAAGAGGGAACGTGTAAAACAGTCTTTTTTTGTCTTTATCTTTTGTTTCGTGTTGTCTCATTTTGTCTATATTCCATATATTACTGTGATATTGTATCGCCTCTACTTCACGTTTTTGCATTGCCCTATGCACCAATAAAACATTTTTCAAAGATTGAATGTTGGGAAATGTTAAAATCATGGTGCAAGGCGAGCTGTTTGACAATCACTCAATCTTTATTCCATCTGTCACCATACTTTTGTCTGTTACTATTTACTTTTCACTCTGTAATAATGCATGTTTCTCTGCTGCAGCCTGGCAACAGACTTCCTGCCAACCTTCATGTACTGTATGGGCAGCGGTAAATTTGACGTGGTGCAGACGGCCCTCAGGAATCTTCCAGAATATGTCCTCCTCTGTCAGGGTAAGAGCATACTATAAATAAAATATGGTCACATGACCACATAGTTCTTAGTAGAACAAAGTGTTTAAACACAGCATGCACCCAAAGTTGCTGTCAGTCACGCCTGCACATGTTTTTCTTTCTTTACAGAACACGCAGACATCTTGCTCCACAAGGCATTTTTAGTGGGGATCTACGGGCAGATCGACACCAGTTCCATGATCGCAGAGTCAATGAAGGTCCTTCACATGGAATCAACAACCTAACAACCAAAAGCACACAACTACAACACACCATGTTCAAAATGGCGTCATTCAATTTCTTCATTCCAGAGCTGGATTTATTTGAATGTCTTTAGTTCAAACATTGGTCAAATTAGGTCATGGCAGATGTATAAAGTCTGTGGCTCTTCATTGGTACAGATTCAAGGACCAATCAGTGATCTGTTAGCTAACAGTCAGATAATAACTCCTAATAATCTAAATTAGAAGTAATTCATGTAATGACTTAAATTTAGTGACTTCAAAGAATGCATTAAAACTCCCTCTAAAGCTGAAAATGTAATCATTCAAACATCTTATAAAATGCAACTTATTTTTAACTAATGATATATTTACCAATTATCATAAAAGATAACTAGGATTGGAATATTACAAGGTGATCTTATTCTACAATCGGTTAAAGAAAACATAGTATCTCCTAAATAATTAAATTAATCTTGCAGTAAAATAATACATATTATTTTAAAAACATCACTTTTTATTGCATTTTCATACATTCCGTGGGAGTCGTTGCAGTAATACATAACAGCCATAAATGATTACTAGATGCAGAGCTTGATGTTTATTTAGAAAATGGCACACTATATTCGGCTTGATATTTGTATTAGTTCGAATATGAAATGTCAACATTGTTGTATGATCAAATAACTACATGCTTCATATGTCGTTGTTTTTAATTAACAACAAATATTTCAATATTTCATGGTCCCCCATTCAGTGTTGTAGCGTTACAGTAGCAACTTGGCATAACTGAATGTGGTTTTTTCATTTGACTTTTCTTACTATTAAGAATAAGCAGCCAAAATGCCAATGCCTGAATACAATGTCCATGTTAATTAACATCATCTGTGAGCCACCATGATTTAAACTGAAATAAAAATACCTTTCTGAGTAAGCCCTTTTCTTTCTTTTTTGTATTCCCCTTTACCCAGTAGAAAGTGAATAGTGTTACATAGTTCAGCTATAAATTGTTCAAATTCAGTGTTTCAATGAAGACATTTTATCACTATTTGGTTGGAAAGAAGTTTCATTTGGAAATTGTAGAAACACAAATCTCACAAGAACCAATTATTACCTTTCAGAATAATATTTGAGCACCTCAAACTAAATGGAAAATGGGAACAAAATAAATGGCGCAACATTTATGGCCTCTCATTTCCTTCCAATCATTTGTGGATCGCATTCTCTTCATTGGCGTGTAACAGACAAATTAACATAGTGATGCACATGCTGTGATGGAAACCATTTTGCCATGAAAGTGTGAGTTGTTTTGCCCGGTGCCACTGACTTCATCTGCAAACCTCTTGATGGAGTCAAAGGGATAAGCTAAACAACGCGTAGGCATGCGGGTAAACCAGGAAAGTGGTCGTCCCCATTGATGGCAAATTAACCATGGCGGTAATTGTTCAATCACACAGAACAAAGTGTGCTTTGAAGACGTCATGTGGGTAGAGCATTTCACAGGTCAGACTGCTGCTGGTGTTTTGTTACGTAGAGGACATCAAGACGTATCCACAGCATGGTTAAGGATCCTCAGTGGGGGTGAGACATGCCCACACTGGTGGGTCACTGGAGACTGTCATTCAGAAATAACAGGCATTCAGTCTGCTGGCAGAAAGTGCAGCTTTTTCTTTTAAAATGTAACATCCGAGAATGTAGGTCAACGTACTCTTCATTTTTTTCAAAAACTGCCGACAAGAAAAACTCAACCCACATTCTTTTAATCTATTGGGCAACAACATATATAAATAGGCTGAGTTGTTGCAACAGTGTTGTATATAATTCAAACCATAATGCATTGAAAATATATTACTATGTGCCTGTGTCTTCTGAACCCTCAGGATGCCTCTAAGTCTCCTTTAATGAATATGCATTCACACATCCAACCAATAGATCCAAACCCATAATTACCTTGTTCATTGGTAAACCCAATCATGTCTTACCCATCATGCCTCATGCCTGCTTATCTCTCTGCTGGCTCTGTGATGTGTTAATTGCACCTGTATGGTGTCCTATAACTAGCCGAGTGCTCTGTTTATGGTTATCTATCAACTTACAACACAAGTGTTAGCAGCCCAGGCTCTTGGTCCGGCGCCAGCATCCTATTGGCTGGGCAGCAGTGAGGCGGAACAGAGATGAATGACAGCTAACGGGGAAGTGGTGGGAGGAAGAGAGGGTAGGAGAGGGGGGTGTGTAGCTGCCTGTTGCTGAATAGTCTGACGGACCACTGACAAGTTAACAACCTGTGCCTTTATTCATCATACCAGGCTGGATGCCCTGAGACGCAGCTGTGAAGAGCCACCGCTCATGTGTCAATGATGAACATTTAGCTTCAATCAATAAAATATCTTCACTGTACACATGTAGTACATGTAACCCTGGGCAGTGGAGTACATTTACTCAAGTACAGTTGAGACAGAGGTATTTTGTGTTTTGGGGAGAAGAAATGGTTTGCTATAGGG